ATGCTGCTGATTTCTTACCCATAAGCTGCTATATTCACACCCATCTGCTCACAACAGACTCATGTTCAGGCTGCTGTTTAATACACTCTATTATGTTATAATATTATTGTTTAGCGTAAATCTTGGATCCTTTTTACTCTTTTTTTTTTCTACTTTATATTATTGCTAGGACCTTGAGTACAGTTTTGTTCCACCTCATGTACCACATGTCTGAATGAAAATAAAGTCTCCTTGATCCTTGAACATCGTCTTCTTTTTTGTTTGTTTGTTTGTTTGTTTCATCAGCGAACCTCAGCAATATTAAAGGTTTAGACTCACAGCAAACATTTCATGATTCTGATCAAAACAGTCTGAGTCACTGCAGACCCACACAGACAGAAGACTTCAGAGGAATCTGCAACATCTCGTTACGTTTCCCTCCCACAGCAGAGCGAGCAGATCAGAGGAGCCAAAGGGATGTTTCACGGCCCCATACCAGGATGTTTTCTTCATGTCTTTTACACGCCACAGGACGTCAAAGTTTCATGCTTTCTTGATGAAAAGCTTAAGCCTCATTGGAGCCAAACCCTTTGTGGACTAAACTGTTCAAGTCATTTTACTTCAGCCTGTGCTGTGGTGAAGATAAAGGACACTGCTCCACGCTCACAGGTTTATTTTGACAGATCAGCTTCTGTGCTGAGTGAAACAAACTCACATGGTGAAAACTCAGACATGTCATGGACCTCTCTTCTTGAACAGAAGTAATAGTTGAGCTGGCAGAGGGTGCAAATTACAACAAAAAAAAAAACTGACAAATTTGTGCTGCTGACATTGTGGGTAGATACAGAGTGAGGGGGGCGTTATTTGACTTGATGAAAGAAGAACGTGTTTTAATCCAATTGCCTCCAAAGTTCCAGTTTCTTCTGAAAGCTGTCTGACTCATGCAGACCAGTCTGACATTTTGTGGGGGCTTTCGTGTGGGCAGAGCAGTGAAGCATGTGTAGAGATGTATAGCGGTGGTCACATCGCTTTAATGATCTGCTGTAAAAAAAATTTAAAAAGGCCTTTTTGAAAGTAAATGTCACCACCTTTTGACAACACATCCTATAAATCTGAGCACCTGTGTGGAGTCATCACTGACAACAGCAAATAATTATGAGTTGAAAATTTCTTCAGGGGACTTGGAAATATATCCTCTCCCAGATTTAAAATTTTATTTATGTAGTGACTGTTGTTACATCATAGATAAACTGATGTGAAGTAGATCTTACTTTATTGAACTGAATGTGAGTTTTGACATGCTTCCTCAGTCTGTTAAGTCCCTTAAAATTATTTAGGAAACAAATGAATGGATTGTAGCAAGCAGGCTTCAGTAAATCAGCCTGTGACTGCATTAGGTTTGAGTTAGGATAACAATTTTATATCCCAGATCAAAATATTTAATTGACTAATTCATTAGTATTGCACCAATCTGAAGGATTCTTGCAGCAGCCTGTAATACAAGCTCAGGTATTATACATCAGTGGTTCTCAAACTGGGGTCCCCGGACGTCTGGAGGTCCACGAGCTGGTGCTTGGGGTCCAAATCACTTTTATTCTAAATCTTCTGTGGGAGGACCCCCCACTGCTATTTGCGTTTCAGCATCGATTGGTTTACAAATTCAGTCCTGTTACTTGGTCTGACTCCTGCTGTTATGATTCTGTTCAGTTTGATGTGAAGAGTTTTCTGTAATAATTTGAAGAAGTGGCGATACATTCATTCTGTTCATTGTGTGAATAGGTAAATTATAAAGTGGTTTTTGATACTGTTAATTTTCTCAAAACTAATTTTTGGAAGCTGAAATTAGAAAGTTTGTTAATTAAGTGTCTTGAATGAAAAATACCCCATGTTTAAAAATATAAAAATTGTATTAACACTATGAAAGAACAGGTCTTAAGTATTTATGTTACACAAAAATTTCCATTGCATTAAAGAGACAAACTGAAGAAAATTATTTAATAAACATGAGAATTATGAGGGGGTCTCTGAACCCAAAACGTTTGAGAACCCCTGTTATATATAAGTACTAAACTACAAACCTGGTTTTATTTTTACTTGAAATGGAACAAATAATCTGCTTTATGGATCATTTTCCCTCAGACTATTTGGAAACCTCACAAATTATACTGTATCTCTGACCTCCTTGTGGTTTCTATGGTAACAATGACAGTATGTTCCTAACATCGGTGTATTGTTCCTATCACCATTATCATCATATCCATCAACTCTAAACTGCAAATGTAACCAGATCATCCACCACTGTTGGTTGCTTTAAAAGTTTTAAACTGTGTGTTCAAAATATGTGATTGAGGTAACTCTCATCTACTACCAACACAAATTTTAGCTTAATGTCTGTAAAAGAATTGAACATATGTAACACACAAAGATCACCTGGCTTTTATAGAAGTGGGTTATTATGATTAATGTTTCAAATAGTTTCAAATGTATATACAGTGAAATGTGGTTGTTTGCATCTCAGACTTTATATTTACAAACAGAAACGTAATTCTTCGTAAATTAGTCTATCCTAGAGTAAAAGTCTAGGTTTAAAATAATAATGATAAATAACACAGCAATTCATAACAAACACAGACTTTTTCCCAGGAAAAGTAACACTTGTTCATACAGTCCTGCAGAACCTCCTGCAGCCTCCACAATCTGCTTATTTCTGTCTTTAATAGATCATAACACTTGGACAATAAATACATTTTTACTCATTTGTTTTATAATAAATCCACAAAACTTGACAAACCCTTTGTATTGATTTACTGGAAATTATATATATTTTTAAAACTATACACAGTAGTTGAGCAGATATACACTATGTTACCAGCAGATATCCACCTGGTTAGAATAAAATCAACATGATGGAAGACAATAATGAAAAAATAAATAATAATTAAATGTCAGCTTCCTTATTTCTTTTAAACTCATTAATGTGTTCAAATATATATTTCAGAGCCTAAAAAAATTACAATAAATAAATGAATAAAAAGGTAATCTCTCGTAATATTGCATGTGTTTGCTGTGGTATGTGGTGATGCATTTTACCATAACGATGGTTTTCTCTGGTTTTTGTGTTTTTAATCTGTGCATGAAGTTATGAAGCTACAACTTTTGGTCACAGGGTGAGTAAACAACCAGCACATGAGCACACACACATGCTGAAAACAACGTGCACATTTTTCAGCACAAATGTGTTTTCTTACTCATTGCTGACTCTATAAACATTTTCATCCATTCATCCATTATCTTTACCCGCTTCTTCCATTTTGGGTCACAGGGGTCGCCGGTGCCCATGTCCAGCAATCACTGTGCGAGATGCAGGGTACACCCTGGACAGGTCGCAAGTCCATCACAGTCTATAAACATTTGTTTTGCATTTTCATTGGGTGTATCACTTTGCCATGGGGACATGTGAAATGGTACACATTTTAAATAAAGAGATTTTGTCTTTAAACTTTGTCTAAAGGACAATAAAGTCCATTGCAGTGTATTTCTCATTCACTCTTTCACACAGATACATGGATCAGTCAGCACGCTGCAAAGCATCAGTCTTAAAACCCCCATAGTGACTGTGAATCTGCAGTAAGTAGTTGAGACAAGGCCAAAGCACAGAAATTGAACAAAAACATTAGTTAGCATGCTGCACATTATGAAACTGCACTAACAGGTCCAAAGATAATGATAAATATAAGTACATAAAAGCAGTTACAGTTTAAAGACAAAAATTGCAGTAGAATCCAAGATAATTACAGGCAGAGTGGGAACATAATCTACACTCACTAAAAAAATAAAAATTTAAGCACCCAGATGCAGTGGCAGAAAAAAAAATGCACACACTAAAATGTTATGTGTTTGTCTTGTTGTGATTTCAATACGAAATCACATAAATAACTGAGTTGGTAATTCAGACACACTCAGGTTGTGGCAGGCCTGGATACAGGAGGACATTTGGTGAGGAACAAAGTCCTACAGCTGCAGAAATGGACCATTGAGATCCGGCACTGAGCAGGAGGTGACATCTCTGGAGATGCCACTCAATGTGATGGTCTTTCCTTTGTGCGGTGCGCCCCAGGTGACCAGAACCTTCATGATGTGTGACCATAGTGACATCTGTACCCTCCACATGCTGGGTGATAGCACAAAACAACCAGCTAGCCTCATGCTAACCCACAATGTGACTCCCATCAAACAGCAGCCAGTGCTGGTGATGCTGTCTAACCCGTCTAGGAGGCATTTTCTGTTCTGACCTTCAGTCACTGTCTGATCAACAGGCGCTCCAGGAACTGCCTGATAACACTGTGGCACCATTTATAAGGCCCTCTGGGGGCTGACAGTTCAGCTCCAACTATTTATACCCATCTCAAATCTGCATGTGGTGCCTCAGTGGATCAGTTGTTAAAGGTGTCGCCTCTCAGCGAGAAGGTCCAAGGTTCATCTCCCAGCCTTTCTATATGAAGTTTGCTGGGTCTCATCATCATCGTCTCACCATGGATGTGTGTACTTTCTTTGGGGGTTTTTTCTCCTGTAAACCAAAAGTTCATTAATAACTCTAAATAGCATGTTTCATTTGTCTTTCTGTGTCCCTGTGAAGGACTTGCCACCTGTCCAGGGTGTACCCTGCCTCTCACACAATGACGTCTGAAAAAAGGCATCAGCAACTCAAAAAGGAGAAAGTGGGTAAAAAGACCATGGTTGGATGATCTGTACGTGAACCAAATCATGTCCAAATTGAGGAATTATCTGGGTGCTGAACTTTTCTTTCAGTGAATTGTCATGAATATTTTTAGATTTTTGCCACAATACAAACAGTTTCACAAATACAGACTATAGTTTAAGGAAAAATCTAAAGCAACAGGTGAGAAACTGCTGCTGATTTGGAGAAAAGTGGTATGCATCGAACCTCACATCACATTTCCTCTGCTACAGCCCTGTTGATACACATGGACAGGGCTGAATATTAGTTTGAAATATGTTCTCTAGAGTGAATCTAACAGGATGGTGTGCCACTGAGTGGTTTCTGTTTGCCCTGGGTTGCACATTTCCCTCCAGTGTTCCCGTCCTGCCTCTGAAGCATTGCTGCCAATCAACACTCGGCCCAGAGCGCTGCTTTTAGTGTAGAGACGACCCTGTACAGACACAGTGAGAGTCTTTGTCTTAACGCTGCACATTGATTTTATAATGCATGAATGAGCCCATGTGAAACTTCGAACCTGCATGATGATGAACTCGAGAGCCAGTGGCAGCTCAGTGATGTCACCAGGCGGCACGTCAAACAGGAAGGGAGCGTTCCAGATGGGGTTGGGACCGCTGGACCCTTTGGTTTCCTTTGTATCAATTATTTTTCCATCCTGACGTAAGTTGATGACAATATAATGGTCTATTGGGAAAAAATAAATATATGCAGATAATTTTAGAATGATTTACTGTATTTCTTGCAATGTTACCAGATGATGTTTAGGAACACAAACTCTTTGTTGTGTTGTTACAAAGTAATGACATGCTTTTATCATGAATCGCTCTGAACCGCCCCCACAGCCACATCTGTCTCATATTCAACATCTAATCTGAAACATAATCTCCTTCGTTAATCCACTTTGGAACGCTGAAACCAAAGATCCCTGTAATGCCATCAAAAGAGTTTATTTTTAAATTTCAACAGTAATATTAGCTCATAAGACTCACAGAAATAAATATTTCTCGCCTCACTAATTTTCGTTTTATCTCTCTTGTTTCCTATTCTGCTAACCAGCAGCAGGGATGTAAATCAGATCCAGATTTGGTTCAGATAGGAGAGGAAATGACACCGGGTGGATCAGCTCCTGATTTGATTAGTTTATCAGTGAATTATTGATCTGGTCAGATGTGATTGCAGCTGGGGAGATTGTAGAGTCCTGGTGCATGCTCAATAATCCAGGTAGATGAATGGAGTGTTTCTGACATTGCAGTGGGTGTTTTACCTGCACTAAAAATGTATCCCTCCTTTATTTGTCCACTGAAATAATCATAATTATGGTTAATTTGATCTCCTCAGATGAAATTCATAGCTCAAGGTTAGATAACACAATTACATAAAATATCAAAGATGATTAAAATTTGTCACTTTTTCTTCCAAAATAAATGGAAGTGGGAATAAAATTGACGTGAGGTGAGAAAACAGACGTTTGGACAAAATAAATGGGAGAAAAGTTTAAATTAATTTACGTGAATTCTGTCACTATAGTTGCTGAAACAGTCCAATACGTCTTGTTCAGTAAGTAAAAAATAAAAATAAAGTAAACACAATTTGTAGCATTTAGCAGCAAACAAACAGGAATAGACTTTTTTGGTGCAGGTGCATGCTGTGAACATTTAATATTTAGTAGTTTTACACAAACGGAGCAGAACTCCTAAAACTGTGTCTGCTGAGTCTTTTCAAACAAACTCGGGCTGCACTGTATTTTACATCAGTATTTTATTAAGGCAGACACAAGTAACATAGAGCAAGAAGAGAGGGTGAGTAGTTTTACAGCACGAGAGTCTATGACTCTGAACAGAGCAGGTGGGACAGGCAGCCTAAAATATAAATCTAAACTGAAACAAGTGGGGTAGCACAGTGCACAATACAGCCTGGTACTATACGTACCGGGACCTACAGGGTAACATGCAGGGTAACCACAGGCCGTATTATGACATGAAAGTTAAAAACCAACTAGGCTGGAGAACAATGGTCCTGTTGACCACAGTGAAGCTGTGCTTGATCTGAGGAGAAAGCTTGGCCTGATTCTCACCTGGAGTTCCTGGTATCCATGTGAGCTTGGTGAGGTTCTCGGCCTTTCGAACCATCACTTTGATTCTCCGGGACAGCACCTGGTACTGCAGCAAGATCAGCAGCTGCCCCAAAGTCCGGGGCACGCAGACTGAGCCCTTCCTGCGACCCAGCATCTCCAGAGAACTCGTGCTCTGAGGATGGGACCGAAGGGGAAAGAAAACATGGAAAAATAAAATAAGAAGAGGGATGACAAAGAAGTCATGTCATTCTGCAAATGTTTTGTTTAGGAGATGTGAATTGTATCAAAGCAAGGACAGAAGAAAGAGGCTGACTGAACCCATTCTGACCAACATTTCTAAAAGCGCTGTAAGCGAATAAGTCAACTGATACGCAGATAGGTAAATAAAATTACAGCGTGCACAGACCTTTGTGTCACTGACTGGAAGGTTTACAGTTTCTGGCTGAATTAGATTTAGATGTTCATCAGAACTACATTGAAATCAAATTGTCAGTCGCTTAAAGTTAATCAGGGTTTTTGATCATCTTTTCATGTAGCTGTCAGGCTGACCGTCTAACAACGACAGACATTTACTGCGTTCTGAGTCACTTTGGATCAAAGCAGTGGTGTGTGACTCTCGTGGTAATTTCCATCTGACTTGGTGTCAACTTTCATTAATTTAAACTGTGAGGAGTGCAGTGACTCACTTTCCTGGTTAAGTACTGGCCCGCCAGCGATGTGCTGAAGCCGGACATCAGAGGCCATTTAATTCAACAGGTGAGTTTCAGATCTCTGCCTCTGTCATAATTTACAGAACAACACTCGCACTCTTAATTCTGTTTAAAAAGACGACTACGACTCGGCACACGGTTCTTTCAAACGTGAATTAATAAGAAAGTTCAATGAGTTTTGAACTTATCTTGAGTGGACGTCCATTCCGCTCAACAGATCCACGGTCTTTAACATATTGTAGCAGCATCTCTTAGGAGAAAGAAACTCTTAAATTGTTACATTGGGGCGGCTGTGGCTGAGTGGTTAGAGCAGTTGTCCTCCAATGCAAGAGTTGAGGGTTCGATTCCACCAGCAGTCACATGCCAAAGTATTCCTGGATAAGACACTGAACCCCTCGTTGCCTCTGATGTGTGTCCCATTGGTGTATGAATGTGATAAATCACTGATTATTCTCCTTAGACTAATTTGTTCAATTAGCTTTGTATAGATCTATTAGAGTGCTGTATGAATGAGTAAATGAGGACACAGATTGTAGTGTAAAGCACTTTGAGTGTCTTGATAAGATAGAAAGGTGCTATATAAGTACAGTCCATTTACATAAAAACAGAATCTTAATAAGACATATTGAACTGAATCTAGAAATTAAACCATCATCATGTTATGATCACCGGTTCTCTGTCATCTGCCTCCATGTCATGTTTCTGCCACTCTGCCACGCCCTTCTGCACTTTCAGCTCATCTGTCTTTATTCACTGCACCTGTTCCAGAACTTATTTAAGAACTCCTCTCACTGCTCAGCTCTGCCAGATTATCATACTGCTCTTGGTTCCTGATATCAAGCTAACTAGTTCACGATTCACACCTTGTTCTTTGGATTTTGACCTCACACGTTGTCTTTAGGATTCTCCTCTCTGCCCACTCCGTCTGATTCTTCTCAGCCCATCTGACCCTGGTACGTCTTCCTTTTCTGGCTTATGGATTTTGGATTTATGGATTGCCCATTGGACTTGTTTTCTGGACCTCTGACTACCTGTGAATGACCTCTGCTTCTGGACCTTGCTTTTGCATTACCCTTTGGACCATGCTCTGCCCTGCAGCTGCGTTTCACCCAGTGATGGTGACGTCATCTTGCCCAACACCTTCAGGTGGCCCCCACCTCTCCTGTCTGAGAAGGTATGTAGCTCTCACTCCACCTGCCTGTGAAGACGTGTTCTCGCAATTTGATTCTGACTCCCTCCTGCAGCTGCAAAACCAAATCTGTTTTCTTTTTTACCATTCTTGTTGTCTGGCTGTTTTGAATCCTAAAACCCAACCTAAGACCCAGTAAGGGTCTCTAAATCGAAAATCATCCTTCTCCAAAGCAATGACAGAGTAGTATTGTGTGTGTGTGTGTTCTCAGCTACAGTATTAAATGTTACAGCTTTACAAACAACTTACAAATGGGCGGCAAAAAAAAGAACCTCATTAAATTTGGATCATACTTGTTTTTTTTTCCTTTTTTACTTCAGACTCTTCTGAGACTATGGTGAATTTCTGAACTTTTGTTTTTTTTTCAAATCTGCAAAAGTGTGTGTAAATGGAAAAAGTGTAATTTATGAACTTTATAAAAGTTTCTAAAAAAAATGTGTAACTAGCATCAAAACATACAAATAAAAAGGTGAACAATAGTTTGACTGCCCTCCCAAAAAGTTCAGTACTTCAGTTTACTTTTTTTTTTTAAATCTGATATACATTATGTAAATAAAAAGCCTTTTTATCAAACTAAACAGTCTCAGGTCCTCTTGTTCCAATAAAAGTGATTTGATACAGAATTGATTGGGCCACAGTGCACAGCCTTTGTGTTCACACTTCCCTCTTTACTCAAAGTGAAAAGCTGTGATTTTTCTCCCTCAACCTCCTGGTTTAAACCCCGCATGCAGAAGCTGATCGTCTGAAGATAACGCAAGAACGAACAAAGAGAAGAGACAAAACTCTGGCTTCCTCAAAATGAATAACACATCTCCTGAGTAAAGTTCACTGGCACGTCAAGCCCACCTCCTCCAAGCGCCTGTTCTTGATGCCTCCTGGCAGCGCTGCGGTGGAGTCACGGAGGGCAGTGCGTGGGCGCTCAGCCAATTTGCTGCACTCGGTCTGCTTCCTCTGCAGCCACAAACAGTCACTGTCACCGTGACTAACAACTCTGGAAAAGTGGCTAATGGCTGAGCTGATTAGATGTTAGACTTCCTCATGTATAAAACATGACATGTGGTATTTATAGGGTGCATGTGCACGTTTCCTGACCATTAAATGAACTAGGAAAACTTTCTCATAGAAACCACACAATGCATTCACTCAAAGCAGAAAAGCCAGTGGTGAAAAACACTTTTGAAAAACTCGAAAATACAAACGCAAGCATTGAAACTTCATCTTTTCAGCACCTTAGTCCTGATTGGAATCTTAGATCTGAGATCAACAAATAAAATATTCTTGCTCTGACTGTCGGACCTCAAAGTGAGACAAACTGTTTTGTCTTTGATGGTTTCTTTTCATTGTCACAGTAATTTCTGAAAGGAAAATGAAGTTTACTTTCATTGAATGGCTGTAGAAATGTCATCTGCACATGCAAAGAATTACCTACTGATTGAGATTTGAGTCATTTTTATGAATATTAAGTCCATCATTCATGTTTTTATATAATTCTGCATCCTGTATGAATCTGAATCAAATTGATTTGCATCTTGTGCAGAAGAGGAGCATCTTGGACCAAGATGTTCCCGACCTAAATGGCCTCTCATGTGGACGGTTTCTTTTTGTTTACTGGTGAAGTTTAGACGCATCAACCTGTTTCATCCTAAACCTGCTGTGTTGTGTTTTGTGCATAAAGTGTCAGAAACATTTTATGAAGACTTCAGTAATTCGCAGCAGCTTCTGGAGAAAAAAGGGGCTTAACGTGTCTTCTTTAAAAGGATGATTCAACACTTTTTCTACTATAAACTAAACAACTAAAAAAAATGAAGCTAATGTAACAATATGAGAAGTACCCCTTAATGTTGCTAATACACAGATTCTGTTTGTTAAAAACATGTTGCAACAGATACATGACTGTATGTTGCCAAACTAACCTGCTGTACTTTCATATTTACTTCATGAGCATAAAATTGGTATCAATTTCCACAGATTGAAGCAGACATGCACAATAAACTTCATATTTTATAAATGATAAAGCAAAAAGATGTGAAAATAAGAACTTGTTTCAATAGAAGTTAACCTTCCTGTTCCTTCTGATATGTTTCTTGTCATGCAACTACAGTGGCCCTGAAAGGACATACCATAAACTGGCTGTATGGCAGGTCATTTTTGCATAGATTTGAGTTTGAACTGCTTGATTATGCCATATCCTACATAGAAGATATTTAATCATTATTTGATACAAGTATGGTTTGAATAAATAGGAAATGCTCTTTTTTTTTATAGACTGCAGATACATTAAGGCTCAAGGTTTATTTGTTGACAGCCGTTCTACTTGAGGATCAAAGATCATCTAATGTGCTGTGTGTTGTGTTTTAGTGAGTGCAGTGGATGCAAATAAATAAAAAGTTAAGACCTTCTTCAGCTTGCTTTTGCTCGGGCTGAGCTGCCTGGTGTAGGTGGTGATGGTGTCAGGCTTCCACATCATCTGCTCACAGAGGAGCTCCACCTCCCCCAGAGAGGCCTCCCTCAGTCCTGAGAAGTCCCTGCTGTAGACGGCTAGCCTGAGCGTGCAGGTGAGCAGCTCTTCCACAGAGCCCACCTGCAGCACGAAGCTCTGGCTGTGGAGGTCTGGGCTGAGGCTGCGCCGCCGTGGGGGTCTCTGCTGCGGGGAGGGGTAAAGGGGTGGGAGGCTCACCCGAACAAACACCCCACTGCGCCTCCGACTGTCTCCAGAGAGCCCCAGGATGTTGATCAAGAGGGTGCCAGAGGCCGAGCTGAAGAGCAGGGAGAAGTGCAGGAGAGGGGCTCGTTTGGAGGAGAGGGAGTTAGAGCCATACTGGGGTTGACCAGCCACACCCTGCTGGGTGGGGGCGCTGGCAGCACCAGCAGTCAGAGGACTGCTCTCACTGTGAATTAAACTCTCCCCACTCACGGTGCTGCGTCGACCCATCACCCGGCAGGGTTTGGACACAAAGCTCAGCTTAGAGGGGATGAGGGAAGGCAGGGAGGGCCTGCCGTGAGCCGCAGCTTTACAGGGCGAGCAGGGAAGAGCGGGGGTGCTGAGGCGACGCGTTGGGAGCAAAGAACTGGGAGGCTGCTTCGATTCCGCTGATCCATCCGTGTCAAAGGGCAGAGCAGTGAGGTCATCTTCAGAGAGGGGAGTGCTGCTTTTGGAGGAGGGGAACTCCAACACGTCTCCTTCCAGCTCCTCGTACTGCTGCTTGACAGGCTGAACGCTCAGAGGATGAGTCAGAGTCAGACTCACGCGCTCAGCTGGTGGAGGAGACAACAAAACGGCCTCCTTGTCCTTAGAAGAAATCCTCCTTTTGCGACAACAAAAGATGCAGCCAAGCAGCAGAGCATAGCAGAGCACAGCCAGACCCACAGCCAGCAGGATCTGCAGGTGGACTAGAAGCAGATTATACATGTTGTTAAATACAACCTCACATAGACAACAATGTCATTTATCTAACAAACGCACAACCGACCATGATTATTGTGAAGAAAAATGCAACAAATACTAAAGTTAAAGGATCTGATCAGCCTGGGACTGAAGACCTCACAGTGAACCTTCACCACCGTCTGCACTCCGTGGCTTTGATGAAATCAAAGAGGAAATGGATAAATAACTGTACTAATGATATTGTTGCAGTTGCTAATTTTAACTCCAACTCTAGATAAATATAAATATACACTTATATACCAACTTTATATTGTATCTGTGTTTGTTGTTCAAGCAAATTGGGCATTTTGCTCTTCATTACAATGTTTTTTTTTTAAATAATTACTAGAATAAACAGAGACCGGGGCTCTTAGTGCTCAATCTCGTACTTGTTTTAATAACAGCTGCAGTCAGAAGTTTACATACACTCATGAATCATTTAAATTGTTCTTGCTTCACAAAAAAATGATTTTTACAACATAACTTCACAGATTTTTAACAACTGGGAACACAAGTTTGATTATGTTGCTATTTCTTAATCCACATAGGGTCAGGTTTATACATACAAGATGACATTTATTCATATACTCCCACTGATATTTAACTACCGGTAATTATCTCTCAGCAAATTGTACCTCGACCACAGGCTTTTTGTTTCCATCAACAAAACTCTGATAAAACTCTGATGAAGCCTTCTGGATGGAAGGTGAAACATTTCAGCACAAAAAAAAATAAATAAAAAAGAAACTGTCCAGATGACCTGACTGAAAATTGTTGGATTGTATACCTGGATTATTAAGCATGGACTTTGTTGGTTTTGAACCAGTTTGACATGACTGTCGACGAGGAAGAGTGCCAGCACCGGAGGAGGGGGCGTGCCAAAGAGACCATTTTAGCACCAACATAACTGATTTGTTCCACTTTAGAGTAAGCTGTTGGGGTAAGAATCAGTTTTGTGTTTCCTTGATTGATGAAGCCTTCTGGATGGAAGATGAAACGTTTCAGCACCCCAAAAAAAATAGAAACTGTCCAGATGACCTGACTGAAAATTGTTTGGCCTGATTTACTGAGCATGGACTTTGTCTGGCACAGTTTTTTTTTTGTTGTTGTTGAGAGACATTTCACCCTCCATCCGAAGGGCTTCATCAGTCCGAGGAGTCCCAAGCGAACTGTTTTCCCCACTAAGCAGTACACTCCTACAGTGGACCAACTAGTTTGCTGGTGATAAGATGGTTTTGGATGGAGGGTGAAACATCTCTCAACAAAAAAAAGAAAGTGTCCAGATGACCTGACTGACCATTGTTGGATTTTTTTTAACCTGGATTATTGAGCATTACTGTGTGAAAACTCTGGCATAACACCCAGTGGAAAGTTGTTTTGATGGGATTGGTTCAACCAGATATCTACTGATTTGAGATGAAGTTGAAGAATTTAGAGGTAGACTTCCCTCCTCTTTGTGCCACTTTGTGCATGATGCTACCACCACCATGCGGTTGGTGTTCTTTGGTTTCTAAACCTCATCCTGACTCCAAACGTACTTAGTGCCATTGTGACCAAATAACTCGATCTTTGTCTTGTCTGACCATTGAACTTTCCTCTCGAAGGCATTTATGTTTTCCACGGGGGCAGCTGTAAATTTCAGCCGAGCTTGAAGGTGTTGCTTTCGGAGCGGGAGTTTGTTTTTTGTTCGTCAGCCTCTCAGTCCATACTGGTGTAAATCTCACCTCACTGTGGACAGAAACTGGTGTCCCAGCAGTTTGAGCTGTGGTGGTTCATGGGTAGTTCCTTAACCTTCAAACCATTCCCCGCTCCTTATAAGATTTGTACTGAGTTTCTTGGACTTTCTCGTCGTTCTGAGTATTGGTCAATTCAATCCGTGTTGTCAAACAAATCATTTTTATGCTGGCAATGAGAAATTATGAGCTGCAGTTAATCATAGTCACTAATATGAAAACAACAGGCCTTGGCAAATAAAGAAAAAAAAACTTAATTCTTAATAAGCACCACATAATTAAAGATTTAGGTGAGTGCATGTATTTTATGAATTTGTGTGATTTATTGAAGATTCACAATAAATTCAAACTTGTGTACTCAGTTGTTTTTTTTTAATCACTGAAGTTTCATGCTGTATTAAAATGGTTCAAATAAATAATCAAAAGTTGAGCATTAATATAACATGTATGCTCAGTCTGCTGCAACTGTAGCTGCTTTAGACTCGTGCAACGAAGCTGAATACCGGTGATCATACGAGTTGAAGGCTTGTGAGCACCCCAAACTAAAAACAATTGTTCACAGAAAACTTTTGTGCACATTAGCATGACTTCTTCTCAAATAAGAGACTGAGTAAAGGCCAGAGTTAACAGAGGCGTGTCCCTTACATGCACTGATTTTCTCATGAATGCATGAAAGCACCTGTGCATGTTTTACTCTACAATCATTAATAAAGAGGAGATCACTGTTGAGGCAAGTTAACAATTAGTCCAGTCAGAGTTTCCAGAAGCAGACAGCTCCTCACAAGCCTTCCTTTAAGAAATAAATGTGCAGGGCAGCAAAAATGACTGAATAAAAGTGATGTTAAAGGAAATAAATGGAACAATATGGCTTTGGTATGGGATCATCTGCAGTTAAACATTACTGTAGGTCAGCTAGTGGAACCGTAAATGCAGCCAATTCCTTTTTAATTGAAGAGTAATAGTTGAAAACAAATCCTTGAAATGAAATGATCAGAAACATGTTTGCAACACTTTCCCAGCGATCACTGTTAGATCACCAGCTGAACAAAAACAATGTCTCCTCTTTTACTTTGTTTTTTCTCTTTCAGGCTGTTGTCTTGATTTATCCTCTAAATTAAATTGTTAAACTGAAGTGAAAAGCAAATTTGATGTTATATAGCAAAGACTAAATAATATAAGTGGAAAGTCTTACCTCCCAGAGTGTAGAGAGACATCCTGTCAGTTTGGAGTGGTGGTGTGAGTCAGTGTGGAGAGGGGGGGTCCATCATCTGGAGTCTGAACAGTAAACATTCCCACCGCCAGCTGATGGTTGAGCTTTTATCTTTTTCAGCCTCTGACAGCATCAGAAGTCCCGCCTTCTTTCAAAAACTGTCCAATGAGCATCCTCAGTAGGCTACAAGATTCATTCTATGACCGTGATTAATGGATGGCATTTGTTAAATTCAAATATATTCTTATGCTTGTCATGTAGCCCAGGTGAGACGCTGCCGTATCATGTACCTCAAGCTTCAGTCTTACAAAGATACAACCTGGTTTCAAAAAGAAAAACAAAACTCAGAGTATCCTCTGAGTGGGTCCCAACGTTGGGATTAGGACCCCATGAACTAGAGAGGACATGGAAGTGGTTGGAGTGAGAACAGAGGATGCAGAGGACAGGGGGGGGGGGGGGGGGACGACTCACTGTGGTGACCCCTGAAGAGGGAATATCCAAAAGAAGAAGAAGAACTCACACAAAATCACTGTTTGTTGACTACTGATAAGTGTTAAAAGTCTGTACTGATGCAGGAGAGTACCTAGAATTCACTAGCTATTTCTTTTACTTATGATTTCACTGCAAAAAAATTATTTTGGTTTGACTAAAGCACATGGGATTTTCACAAAGAAATGTTTTAGCAATCTAATAAAATAAAAAGATAAATAGATGGTTTGATCCATCATCACACTTTTAACCCCATAAACTTTACTAATGTAAAAAGTGCATGTCAGTGATGATGAGATAACATACTCAATAAGGCTTTCACTGTAAATAGCAACTAACTAACTAACTAACTAACTAACTAACTAACTAACTAACTAACTAACTAACTAACCTTTATCCTAGCTACTGAATAATGTAACAGTGTTTACTGAATATTTCATGTCAGTGTATAAAAAGCCAACTTTTGTGACAGAGTATGACTTTTCACAATTCCCTGTGTAATAACACATTATAACACACATTACCAGTATATACATGATAGAAACATCAAAGCAAATATGTTCTTGTTTTTAGTATTTCACCCTGTTTTACGACACCTTGATTTATTGTTTCATACACCACTTTTATTTTAACTGCATTTTCACAGTAGTTTATTGTTGTCATTGTCTGCACCTCATCTGTGTGTTCTTTGTTTAAATCAGTTGTACATGAGTCCTCGAGGCTCAGTGAAACTAACTTGTATAAATAAAAGTTGAACGAATGAAAAAAATAAATAAAATTAAGGAATCAAGAATCTCAGATTTTAAAATGTGCAATGTTTAAATCAACAAACATTATCTTAAAAAGTTTTTTTCAAGGGCTTTAAAATTAAATTACTGATTTTAAAATAAAGCTTGTGAAACTTGCATCACAACTTTTACAAGTTTCCGCCCCTGTTGGTGTGTGGGTCAGAAGCTGGACAGTTTGTTTGCTTTGTTGTAAACTGTGTCAACATACAAGCAAACATTGTTCCAGGTTATGATTGTTTTAGTTTTATGTTGTGTTCACTAACTATATATATATACAGTATATATATA